ATATATATATATATATATATATACACACACACACATGTTAAGTTGCTCTTTTTTTCAGACAGTCCTTTCATGTCAGAACCAAAAATCTCAGGTAATCCCAGAAAAAAATTCTAAATAATGAACAAAATGTTTGTAGATACTTACAATTGTGCCAAAACCTTATTCCACTTAAAATTGTAATGCATATAGGCCATATACATGACCATAGGCACCATTCAAACTGTTCTTTCTCTATAGTGCACTTGAAGTTTGTCCTTTAACATGGTGTCACACTAGTGAACCATGCAGGCTCCTAAAATGGGACCCAACATCTCAGATGAAGGGAACAACCTATAGTCGTGTGCTATGCCTCAGTCAAAGGCATATAGGTTCGACTTCCAGCCACCTTATTACCAGAGGCTCAGAGGGCCAAACCAGCCATGACTACAAGGTAATGGGTCTTTCTCAAACATCTTAAAGAGGGATCAGTTCAGCACCGGGAATTTCTCTCAACTACCCATGGCTTGAATTATTTTTTTTCAAAATCACATTATACGTGGAGGATTTTGAACACAGCTTTATACGGTTTCATTTAGAAAACCGGGGGGGTGGGGTGGGAGGGGGGAGAAGAAGCAGTCTACACAGCTTGCACATAAATTCAGATTAGCAGCCACACATAAAGACGCAAACACATATATTATATCCCATTCTAGAGTGAATGGAAACATTAAAATTTACAACTGAGCCTAGAAGCATTCATCCTCAAACATTTTTTTCTTCTATTTAATAAATCAGTAGATAATACCTCACCTTTTAGGTTTAGGGACAGGATGTAACATTCTTAAGAACATCTGATAAAATAAAAAAAAGTCATGTCAGGGAGTTCTGCTAAAGAAATCTCTTAACATAATGGAACCCTGGGACACACAGGCTCCCACACAATGAGAGGGAAGAAACAAGAAAAAAAAAAGGAGGGAATATCCCTTAAACAAATGTAAACTAAAGAGACATAATGAGTAGTGTCTTGAATATCGTCCACAGGCATGTTTGCTTAACATTTCATCTGATTTTAGAGCTCCACTGGGAGCAGATCTCTTTAATTCATCTAGCTGTTTGGATTTCAGTCTAGTGCTCCGGAGCTCACTGTCTTGAACACAACCCACCCTAGCAGACTTGCCCATAGAAGGCTGAGGATAGTGGTGTTTGCATTTCTGCGGGAATAGCTCTTCAAACATCAGATAAGCGGAGGAGGATTGTTTGTAGATATAATTGGCATTCTGTGGTCGGAAAGATTGTTGGCACATCATTTAGGTCAAGAAGGCAGACTGAATGATCAGGGAACTGGTGTGTGAGCTGGCAAAGAGAACTTTTTTTTTTTGTTTGCATTGAGGCTGCCACATGTTTACCTTTGGCGCCATTTAGATTTTTTTTGTTTGAATTCACTGGAAGTAGGTGGTGTCTTATTCTCCCTAATCTTAACAATATGACAAAAATGTCATTATTTTATTGGCTAACGTAAATGAATATGACTAAAACCAGGTCAGGACTGAGTAATCACTATAGAAAGTTTAGTAGATTAACTTTGTGTGTGTGTGTGTGTGTGTGTGTGTGTGTGTGTGTGTGTGTGTGTGTGTGTGTGTGTGTGTGTGTGT